TTTTTTCTTGTTTTTTTGCGTGTGAAAAGTGAAAAATGAAAAATGAAGGTTTTTCGATTAAATTAGAATCTTATACTTAATTAGTATGAACGTGCAATTACAATTAAAAGCAATTGACATAGTTTAACAAATAATACTATTGCTTACAAGTTTAGAACGAGATACTATTGACTAATAACTTGTAATTGTTTTGTTCATTAATCTTTCGTAATATTGTTCTTGTATCATGTTATTATTGTGATTTATATATTTTTTTTCGTTATCTAAATTGAGTTTGTCTATTTTATTGCAATAACATTTTAAAATTAAAATTTAGATATCATAAAATTATATGAAAAATATTAAAAATTATAATTATTTGCATAATAATATGGTTAAAACTATATTTAAAAATATCAATCAATATTCATGTAATTTGGCTCTCGAAATAAATCTAACTTATCTAACATAGTGACCATTAACTGCTATAATTAATATTGGCATTTAGAGGGCATATGGTCTCGTTAAGAGTCATTTATTATATTATTGCAATCAAATTATTGCCTCTTCCCATGAACTAACTCAAAAGAAATCACTCCTTGTATCTAATAAAAAAAAGATACATCTAAAAATATTAATGAATATTTGTGTAGTTTGACTCTTGAAGATAAACATGATAAGTATTTTGGAACGAAAGAAATATACGCAATAAACAAATAAACCTTTTTTAAAGTGGTAATACATAAAACCTTAATTTACTCTTAAATTGTTTCTTTTTTCATGTGATCAAGGTTATGGGTGAACATAGTGTCGCGATATCATATTTAACCGAATAAATTTTTTTCATGTGGGGCATAACTTTATGTGTGAATTTATTAAAATTATAGTAATAAAAATCAAATAGATTGAGTTTATAATTTATAAATATAATAAATTCAATACTAATTTTTTTTATAATTACATAAAACTTAAATTTTGAAATCCACCTCGCAAAATTATATACTCCTACTACAAATAATGCAAAGTCATTTAAGTGTCCCAACGAACATACTCCTAAATTAGTACATCAAATAAAGCCACATCCATCAAAATTTGTTAATACTGTACAAAATTTGGTTGTATTCACTTTAATTTCATCAATTATTTTCCTTGGTGAGCTTTAAATGAACACAATAATTGTTTTTCAAGAATAGTTAATTTATTTTAACTATTTTTCAGAAAAAAAAAAGAGTTTAAATATTTTAAATTTCTTATTATTCCTTTCTTGATTCGGTTTGATTTAATTTGTTTGATCTAGTTATAGATCAATCAATTTCTTTCTGGTGGGAAACATCAATATTTTTTACAAAGGTTGAACTAATATTTATTTCTTTAATTAATCAAAATATTATAATTAAATAAAGAAAATGAAAGGTGGCCAACCTATACTACTTCTAAGTAACGCATTTCATCGTATTTGATAATGTTGGCCACACCATCCACTATTTCATTATAATTCATAATTTAAAAAATCAAGTAGGGTATTTTCAAAAATTATTTTAATCATTTCAAAAAATAAATAATGATACCTCTTACAACATACTATATTATAGTCTATATATATATGCTTCGTGTACCTTTTCTTCTATATTTTAATCATTCCAATTATACTTATGACATACTTTATTGTGAGACATGAGTGCATGCATCAAATATCTTCTTTAATTCCTTGCATCATCATCATTATTATTATTATTATTATTATTATTATCAATATTAATAATAAATAAATGAATAAATGAAAATACTCAACACTTTCCTCTATATTCACCATTATGTTATTTTAATTTGTGAAGTTATGTTATTGAGTGAAACGTTTAAAAGAGAAAACGATGATAATTTAGCTAAATAATCTCATATTAAGGATTTTAAATTATTTCTTGAAGTTTGTGTAACAACATTATAGATTAAACTTAGAACTACTAATAACTCGTTGATAAATAAATATAATCACACGAGAGTCCAATTCAAGAGGAATACACTATGTCTGCATTTATACATAGTTCGCCTAAATTTGTTAACACAATAACATAATGCGATAGCTAATTTTAATTTTTTATTTTATTTTTTAAAAAATAAAATATATATATATACTACAAAAGTCAATTTTTTTTAAGAATGTCAATGATACCTAAATGTTGGCAGAAGAAGACCTTTTCCTTTGCTTCTTTTGACTTCAATATTGATGGAGACACACACTTCCTAAATCAATGCCTGATGTACCTGCACTAATTATGAAAACACTATACAAAATATTGGAGAATAATCATTTATGTAATATGTAGAAAGTTTAAAAAAATGTTTTTAGAATATATATCTTTTTCAGAAAGAAAAAAAAATAACAAAAGGGAACAAATTAATAGAATTTTCCAACTCAATACTAATTTATTTAGTGTAATTTGTGCAACATTTGAGACTTTTTTTCCCCCCAATAAATGGATTGATAATTTTTTTTAATAGAATAGTGGTGATTAAATTAGCTTCTCATTGACAAGGTTATTACTAATATTAACCAGATTGATTATTGATACATCTATTAAAGTATTTATCACCTAAGTAGATGAAAAATGAAACTTAATATTAACCAGATTAATTATTGATACATCTATTACAATGTTATTGGTATATATATAAGCTCATTTGGAATTGATTTAATATTAAAATGGCATCGGAATTAAATTGCTAAAAAAAGTTTATATGGTTTGCATCCGACATGATAAACTTATGTCAAAAGAACTTAAATTTAACTTAAAAGATAATAGACTCAGCAAAGTATGGTTGATGTGATTTCAATGTCTCACAATTAAGAAACTTAATTTATTGTTATAACCTGAATTTTTTATTACAATGTGAGCTTGATATCAAGGACGGACCATCTTAGGTGAAGGGTGTCTGGTATACATCCTTCACCAGAAAATTATATGGTGTACAAAGGTTAAATATTAGTTATTGCCATGGCTTGATATACTATGATTGATAAATCAATGTTGGAATGCCTTGATGATATTATTATAAAATTATAAATGATGGTTGGCAATCACCATATTAGATCATTATTATTTTTTCTATTATGCGACATATATATATATATATATATAGAAAGAACATTATAGAAATTTGATTGAAAATAAATATATACCTACTGAACTCATATGCAATCAGATAACAAATTATGCTTGAGAAATATAACAAGTATTTTGAGTTGGGTACATTAAAAATGATTTCCTTACCAAGAAGATATATTTGAATAATGTGTTTATCATATCCAGAGAAAGAGTAGATATACTTTGGCAGAAATTATCGGTGAACATCTAAAATTGACAGGATTTTTCACTTAGACATCTCAAGTGAGCCTTTTACATTTTAAACACATGTAGTAGGCTCCTGTTGTGTTGTAAATATTGAAAACATCCTTAAATTCGGCGCAAATTATTAGTTTCATCCCCGAACTATTGAGAGTCTTTAAAACACCCCTTTACTTGAGTAACTGAACGTAAATACACCCCCGATCTTACAACATGAATGAAATACACTCCTAAATTATCGTTAAGTTTAAGGGTGTTTTCAATACTTTTCTCAACTTTTTATTAAGAGTTTCATGCTCCTACAAGAGTTTAATTTGAGACTACTTACTATGTCATGTGACAAATCGAGGGTGAATCTAAGTTTAGTTAGTCAAGTAGAAAGGTGTTTTAAGACCGTTAATAATTAAAGGACGAAACTGATAATTTACGTTAAGTTCAGAGATATTCTCAAATACTTCTTACTTTAAACAACTTTCTACATATTCATTTATAAAAGATGAACATATACTTGGCATGGTCTATTTGTATGTGGTATACATCATGAGCAAGAAATCAATAATGGCAAGTGCAATAAAGGTAGCTCCTCATGAGCCAAGACAAAGAGAGTGATGATATATATGTCACAGAAGTGGAGGGCCCCTTCTTCTTCTAAAAAAATATGGAGCGGTAGTAAGAGGTGGAGCCAAAATTAGGAAGTTTGAAATTTTACTAAGCCATTAATTAATTTTGTTAAGGGGTTTACATATATATATATTTTATTTAATTTTCTAATATAAATTCAGAATCTACGAAAAAGCTACCGAGTTCGTCCAAACTCACGAACCTCACTTAGCTCCACCTTTGAACAGTACACCTTTTTTAAGCAGTAAATGACATGGTGAAAAAGTAAAAGCATGCACAGACTGAAATTAAGAATATATAAGAAAACAAATATTTTCTGCCACTTAGCACATGCACAATTAAAAAAAAAATTGCTTTCTTCTTACTTTGTTAGGAATAAATAACTAAGTATGTGTATAAAACATAAAATAGTGGGCAAAAAGTGGGTTGTCCTATCAATTAATTTCCCCTAATTTTGACAAACAATAAGAAGAAGTTCATTTAAAGTCTATGGACTAATTAATTATATATACTGATCAGTAGGTGGTTTGATTGTACACTTGCTTAGATAAAGGTTTTGTAATGGTTCCATAAATTCAATAATATCAATGAAATGCTTGTTTTTAATGCAATTTTATACTATATATAGTCGACCGCTAAAATAATAGTCAATGAATATATATTTAATGTTCATCAGGAAGTAATTTCTAGTATATTTGTGTTTATCGAGTTCACAAAACTCACTAAAAGTGAAAGCGGTACCTATCCGAGATAACATTAGAAATTAAAAGTTGTAACATGAGAAATTTCTTCCCCATAACTTTGCAGACAAACGCATGTGGTCAATTATACTATTCCCCTGAAAAATAAATAAATTATACTATTCCAAATATTCACCATGTAAGGTTGAAATTGGAGATGATTGATAATTAAAGTATACATTGTCTTCATTGTAGCAGATAATGTGAAATTTAATAAACATGTACTCCCTAGTTAGTATTTATTTTGTTTACTTTTTCTAGGGGAATACAAGAGCACGTGAATGAAATATCTACATAGAATGTGCAAAGATTTAGAGGTCTGCAGAACAATAAAATAGTACTTATACTGATAACATAGAAATTTGTCTGTATTACAGATTGAATAAGTTATGCAAGCGCATTATTGTATAAATTAAGGCCTCTTATTAAAATTTGGCTTTCAGAAACTAGTAATATTATGGACCTGCTCTTGTTCAACCAAGAAACTGTCTTCATGTTCGCGTATTAGCAAACTTTTTAACACTTGTATCCAAACACGTAATTACTTATCAGTTTCGACATTTGATATTTATCAGCTACTTTTGATCAGAGAGGCTGATAAGATAACCATCTTCTCAGCATGGCTAGACATTCAACAGGCTTGTACTCTGGAGCTGTATGTCCTCCTCCCTGCACAACAGTTCAACAACAACAACAAAAAATGTTAACTTGCTAAAGAAACAGGAGAAAATGAATCAAGTTAATACAAGTGAAGTCAAATAGTTGCTTTCCTTCACTGTGGCAAATGTCATTTTATTTGAATATGTTCTTGTATACCTGCATGTTTTAGTACAATGAAACACAAAGAGAAGACGAGAAAAGATCAGGTGAAGGCATGTTTCAAACACGATCAACGAACATTCATTAAGTTTTGAACTTACCCTGCAACTTGACTATCAACAATCCATGGTCGCCAATCATCAACAATAGAGCAGTTAAGAGATCTTATCCAAGCTTTGGTTGATATATAAGGGATCATCATGTCATGATCACCACTGTTTCACATAGAGAATTATATTTATGGAACAAATTTCATAACTTTAAGACACAAGATCTTATAATCACTCTACCTGTATATTAAGGACCTATAGCCTTTGACACTGAGATTTGCATGATATGGAATGCTGCTATGTACTATCTTTTGGAAATGCAAATCATCCTCAGCGCATCGCTTCCATTTTCCAATACTACCCTGCATGGGATAAAATTCATGTTTCTTTAATATTGCTTCCAAACTTTAGATTTCTCATTTTATGAAGAAAAAAAACGATACATACTCTTCGAACATGGAGGGCCTCTCTTACTTTGTCATCATCAGCCCAATGGTAAGAGAGCTTTTCCCAGTCAAACTAGCATGACAAAAAAAGAAATATGTAAAAGTATGAAGTTTTTGTATGCACACAATGAAGTGCATAGATCATAATAGATATCCATTTTTCCTTATTCCAGCTACGGTTAGCATTGGAAAGAGGGGGAAAACTTACGCGTGCTCTCTGTTTACATCAAGTTGATCAATGGAAGTTTTGTATAGTGTATATAAGCTTTTATCAGTTAACTATACTTAAGTGATCTGTATGCTCACTTTCATCTGTAACTCTTAACTGATATGGTTAAGATACCAATTTTTTTTTAGAACAACGAGAGGGGTAGGTATTTTCACCAAAGAGTGGATGACTTTCAAGAGAATAGGAACCAGTTATTCTTACTCGACATCTTAGTCGTCCAGCATATAGCATCTCATCTAGAGACCTTCTTTCGCCAAACCATTTTTGTGGCCTCAGTGAACCAAACTCACAGTTGGGCTCCAAAATTTGCCCAGGTTCTAGTCCTTCCACCATCTATAAAAGTCACAGCATACTATTATCAAGCTTAGTCGAAAAAACAACCATAAGATGGAGGCAGCACAGACACGAACCTGATCATAAGTCTGACGATCATTCAAACATTGTGTGTTGCTAAGATGTAAATCAAAATACTCTCCTTTACAATTTCTCTTCAAGGACTAGTACAAGAGCAATAAGCCATTCAATCAGTGTAATGTGTGAAGCAAATGCTTATAAAAAAACTTTTTTACATTATCATGTCATTTACAAGAAAATTACATGTAATGAATTACTCATAATAAGTTGAATTAGTAACCTGAAAAATAAGGCAAGTAACCTATTGTAACATGTTGAATTGCATTTACAGTGTGTTTTATTACGTTGTTAGTGTATAAAAGTTGAATAAAAAAAAGGTTTCTATTTAGATAATGCAAACCTCGAAAAGTTCATCAGAAATAAGTCCCATTCCATGAGCATATGGGATCCTGTAGTTGAATTCACCTTGAAATGTCGATGGATTTCCCAGAAAATATCCCTGAAACCATTTGAAGGATACAAAATGTTAAGAGCACCTATAGCTATATTCTTTCATCAGTTTATAGATATAAAACAAAAGAACTCATTATGTAAAAACGTAACAAAAAAGAAAAGACGAACCTTAAGATTAATAAAAGGCTCAAGTCCCTTTTCATTTCCTGCATTACCACATCATCGCAAATGGTGAATGATTAGACAAGGGGAGAACAAGCAAATGACGTTCTTGGGGGGAAAACAAAGGTGCACTTCATTTGAATTCCTACCATTTGCTATGAGTTGAGAAATGATTGGTACGGATATTCCAGAATAGGAGTCCCCAGCCATATAAAACGGATTTCTTAAGAATTCTGGGTGATCATTGAACCACTGAAAAGAAATGGATGAATTAAGTGTAACGGCAAAGCCATTTGAACATGGAAATTTGATTCCATAATTTGTTGGACATGAAAAGTATGATGTGCAGGGATTTAATTACCTTCTGAAGAAACTGATATGCATGATCACTAGCTTGTAGATCATCGGATTGGTGAGCCGCTGAAGTTCTTGCATAGGAAAAACCAGTACCAACTGGAAGATCTAAGAATATAAAGCTTGCAATCTGATTAAACAACATTTTAGTTAGTCTGCAAGTTTATGAATATCCCAATATTAGTGACTGACAGATATGTTCACCTTTGTCCATGTATGGGGATTCAAGACCAGTGAAGGGAAGCTACCATTATATTCTGCTGGCTTAAAAGCACCGTACTCGACAGGCTGAAATGTTATTGGACCTATCTCAAAGAGAAGGCCAGATAAAGCAGAGCAGCCAGGGCCTCCAGTTAGCCATAGAATAAGAGGGTCTGATTTTGGATTAGACTCAGACTTAATGAAGTAGTAGAATAGTTGCACATCATTTGAATCACCCACTCCTATGTACCTGAAAACACCACCCTATACTTAATATTGAATGCTGAACTTCAGTATTTGTACATACTTGTTTAGCTACGAGTGTTTTCACTTTTGTGAAATATTGAAATACTGGTTCGAATAGGTATTTTACACACGAAATTTCACTCTCCTCCGAGAGCATTCCGCCAGTTTTTGGCGGCTTTGACTTTACGCCCAGTCATTCCAACGAAACCCCCCACCCCAGATTACTGCTGACACGGAGTTAGCTGGGGATTCTTCTTTTGAGTCCTGCCATGATTGTGCACTCAACGAAAGAGCGAAAAACTGATTTTCACTAACAAATCATCAAATTTCACAAATACGACTACCAACTTCCACAAACTTTTTAAAAACTACAACAAAAACAAGACTAAACATCAAAGAAGTACTAACTTTTACACTTACCCAGTTTCAAGTTCAAAAGGAAGTGGCCCTTGGAATCCTGGAAGAAACTTAACAGGTGAACCTGCAGCCTCAACACACACTGGAAAATGAAGTACTTCTGCAAGAAGAAGAAGCAGAACTGAAAACAGATTGCAGCAAAGCATAAGACTTCTCTTTCCTTCGGCCATTGCTTTTTGTCATAGAGAGCTTTCTTCACAAACTCTCTGAAAATATATAATAATGAGTCAACATTAAATATGAGAGACAAAACCAATAAAATAGAAAAAATATTCTGACTTCTTGTCCTCATGGCTCCAGGCCATGCTTATGCACACTGTAACTTACAAATTGTACTAATTAAATATGCAAATGGAGTTCATTTTTTTTTTTCCAACAATTCTGGTATATTTTTCTACAAGTCAACTTCCCATATGAATCTGAATGAACTCTTCTGCTGAGTTAATATCTCAGATGGTCACTCAACTTTGAATAGTTCACTTAGAAAGTCACTCAACTTTGAGTTATTTACTTAGAAAAGTCACTCAATTTTATTTTATAACTCAAAAATCATTCAACTATTAATGTTTCACTTAAAAGGTCACCCAACTTTTTATATTTCACTTAGAAAGTCACTCAATTAATTTAAATAATTTTTTCATTAAATTTTATTTTAAACTATTTTTAAAGAAATAATAAAATATCTATTTTAATTATCTTATTGATTCGCTCCAATTATTTAATTGTAATTTTTCTGAAAAAACGTACAGTAGCAAAGAAGGGTTGGAATTGATAAGAAGTAAGAAAAAAAACGGACAGTAGCAATTTTCTACTGTTTTTTTTTAAGAAAAGGTAAAAACAAAAACTATATTAGTATATTTCAACAAAATTCAATAAAATAATTTAAATAAGCATTTTTTTATTTTTGTAAAATAGTTCAATTATTTTTTGTACTTTTACAAAATTTAATGAAAAATTATTTAAATTGATTGAGTGACTTTCTAAGTGAAATACAAATAGTTGAGTGACTTTCTAAGTGAAACACTAATAATTGAGTGATTTTTGAATTATAAAACAAAGTTGAGTGAATTTACTTGATGTTTGGATTCAGCAAAAGTGTCTCCATATAACATAACAAACAGATTGTTTTTTTTTTACTATCCCCTAAATCACTATTATCTTCTTCTTTTCTTTTTTCTTTTGGGATGGGAGATGGTGAATCTGCTCATTATGTACAAGAAATTCTTTTTGAGAACAGAAGGGATTTGACCTTGAACTCCTGTGGAATGCTTTGAGATTTTCTAATGCCGGGGCTTCCGTTATTCTTATCAGTTCTGTGTATTGTGTGTATACATATAGTTTGGTGTTGAGATACGAGAGAGAGAATCGTGAATGGGGTGCGAGATTGATTAAATAATATATACTAATATTTTTTTATGAGAAATTATGTAATCCATATCTCTGAGAGAACTTGAATGAAACTTGGCCAAGGAAAGAAAGTTAATTTGGTGCCTTGCTCAATAAACTCAGAACATTGTGGACAACAAATAGATCTCAGCCATTTTGGCCAACACTTTTTTTCTAAATACATAACTTAATTATAGAATGAATTTCAATATTGGATGCTTGCTTCGCAAAGGGGTTGAAATGTGTTCCTCAATTAATCACAAAGGCTGATAAGATAACCATCTCCTTAGCATGGCTAGACATTCAACAGGCTTGTACTCTGGAGCTGTATGTCCTCCTCCCTGCACAACAGTTCAACAACAACAACAAAAATGTTAACTTGCTAAAGAAACAGGAGAGAATTAAACAAGTTAACACAAGTCAAATAGTTGCTTTCCTTCACTGTGGCAAATGTCATTTTATTTGAATATGTCCTTGTATACCTGCATGTTTGAGTACAACGGAATGAAAAAAAGGAAGACAAGAAAAATTCAGGTTGAGGCATGTTTCAAACATAAATCGAAGAACATTCATTTAGTTTTGAACTTACCCGGCAACTTGACCATCAACAATCCATGGTCGCCAATCATCAACAATAGAGTAGTTAAGAGATCTTATCCAAGCTTCGGTTGATGTGTAAGGGATCATCGTGTCATGATCTCCACTGTTTTATGAAATAAGTATGGTAAGTTAAGTAAATTCATACAGAGAGTCTATTATTTATGCAACAGATTTACGATATAATTACTCAACCTGTATATTAAGGACCTATAGCCTTTGACACTGAGATTTGCATGATATGGAATGCTGTTTCCTATTATCTTTTGGTAAGGCAAAGCATCCCCAGCACATCGCTTCCATTTACCAATACTGCCCTGCATGGGATAAGATTTCTAGTTAGAGACCAACTCTTGGAGCTAACGTGGGATCCGCTGAAGGACCTACTAGTTTAGGTAAATATCTAATGCATTCCAACTTTAATCTGTGTTGCTCCTAAAACTTTAGAATTCTTCTTTTATGAAAAAATGAAAAAGCAAAACATACTCTTTGAACATGGAGGGCCTCTCTAACTTTGTCATCATCAGCCCAATGGTAAGAGATCTTTTCCCAGTCAAACTAACATGACAAAAAAACGAAAGGAGGTAAAATATGAATTTCCCTAAAGAGTGGATGATTGTCAAGGGATAAGAACCGGTTATTCTTACTCGACATCTCAGTCGTCCAAGATATAGCATTTCATCAAGAGACCTTCTTTGGCCTATCCATTTTTGTGGCCTTGGTGAAGCAAACTCACACTTGGGCTCCAAAATGTGCGCATTGGTAATTCCACCAAGCATCTATAAAAATCATACAACTTATATCAAGTTTAGTCAAATAAACCAAGCAACAAGATGGAAGCAGCACAAGAGAAATGAATTAATAGACACAAACCTGATCATAAGTCTGCCTATCATTCCAACATTGTGTGTTCCTAGGATGTATATCGAAATACTCTCCTTTACAGTTTCTCTTCAGGGACTGTTCAAGAGTAGTAATCCATTTAATCAGTGTAATATGAAGAAAATGCTTAGAAAGATTTTTTTTACACTATCATGTTACTTAGAAAGATAATTATATCTACACATAATAAGTTGAATTAGCAACCTAAAAACAATAAAACATTTTAACTTTTCCAACATGTTGAATTGAATTTACAGTGTAAAATTTGTATTACATTGTCAGTGTATATAAGTGAAATAAAAAAGGTTTCTATTAAACAATGCAAACCTCAAAAAGTTCATCAGAAATTAGACCCACTCCATGAGCATATGAGATCCTGTAATTGTATTCACCATGAAATGTAGCCGGATTTCCCAGTAAATATCCCTGAAACCATTTGAAGGATGCAAAATATTAAGAGCACCTATATCTATCCTTTCATGATGTTCATGGAGTCTCTAACTATGTAATGACCTATATCCTAATACAAAACAAAAGAACTCATTCCGTACAAGAAGGTTAACAAAAACGAAAGACAAACCTTAAGATCAATAAATGGCTCAAGTCCCTTCTCATTTCCTGCATTACCACATCACATCATCAGAATAGTGAATGATCAACCAATGGGACAATAAGCAAATAATTGTTCTTGGAGGAAAACAACAATGCACTTCATTATAAAATCCTACCATTTGCTATGAGTTGAGAAATGATTGGTATGCTTATTCCCGAATAGGAGTCCCCAGCCACATAAAATGGATTTCTTAAGAATTATGGGTGATCATTGAACCACTGAAAGGAAATGGATGAATTAAATTAAATGTCAAAAGTCATTTGAAGATAGAAATTGGATTTCAGAATCTGTGTCACACAAAAGTTTGAAATTAGAGATCTAATTACCTTGCGTAGAAATTGATATGCATGATCACTAGCTTGTAGATCATCTGATTGACGAGCCTCAGAAGTTCTTGCATAGGAAAATCCAGTACCAACTGGAAGATCTAAAAATATAAAGCTTACCACCTGATTAAACAAAATTTCAGTTAGTCCGCAAGCTAATGAATATCCCAAGATTAGCAACTGATAGATATGTTCACCTTTGTCCATGTATGAGGATTCAAGACCAGTGAGGGGAAGCTACCATTATATTCCGCTGGCTCAAACGTTATTGGACCTATCTCTAAGAGAAGGCCAGATATAGAAGAGCAGCCAGGGCCTCCAATTAGCCATAAAATAAGAGGGTCTGATTTTGGATTAGACTCAGACTTAATGAAATAGTAGAATAGTTGAACATCATCTGAATCACCCACTCCTATGTACCTGAAAATAACATCTTTAGTATTCAATGCTGAACTTCAGTATTTGCACATATATACTTGTAGTGATTTCACTTTAAGCGAAATATTCAAATACTGGTTCAAATGTAACTCTGTCTGTGCATGGCTTCTTCTTCGAATCTTCACGCACTAAAAAAAAAAGAGAAATACTGATTTTCACTAACAAATCACAAATCCTACTACCAACTTCCACAAACTTTATTTAACTTAAAAATTCAAACTCACCCTTTTTCATATTTCATCTTAAACTTATTTGAGTAGCTACAGACAAAGATAATTCCTTACTGCATCCAATTTAGTATAAATGTTATATACTTCGAGAAACAAAAACAAGACTAAACATAAAAAAGAGTAGCTTTTACACTTACCCAGTTTCAAGTTCTAAAGGAAGTGGCCCTTGGAATCCTGGAAGAAACTTAACAGGTGCACCAGCAGCCTCAACACACTCTGGAAAATGTATTACTTCTGCAACAACAACAAGAAGAACTGAAAACAGATTGCAGCAATGCACAAGATTATTTTGCTTTCTTTTGACCATTGTTTTTCTTCTTTCTGCACAAACTCTCTGGGAATATAAAATATAGAGTCAACAATCAACATTAGATAATGAGCAATAAAATATCTATCTTCTTGTCTTCATGGGCCCATGCAATTCTGGTAATGAGAATTTGAATTAGTGCCGGCAAAATGAGCCATATTTTGGTAACTTATCCATATTTTAATAGGTTGGGTGAGTGATTTTTTAGGGAAAAATTATGCGTATTACCAAAGATATATTAGTTAATTACTTAACATAGCTATAGTTTGCCTTAATTACAATTCGCGATCTACTTTTAGCTATAATTACGCAGTTCAACTTCTTGGTTTTGTATAATTCGCACGTTTGTATAATTCGGAATTTGTATAATATAATTTGTATAACTATTTACACTTCTGATGTTTGTATTTGGTATAAATTTGTTATTTTGAGTTTATACAAAAATAACTGAATTATACAAATGTACCCGCGAATTATACAAACCTGCGAATCATACAAATCCGCGAATTATACAAACAAGACAACTTAAATTGTAGCTACAACCCGAAAATATGCA